GGGAGGAATTCTCTGTCTCACCTCTCACACCGCCATCTTGAATCTTAGGATAAGTGCATAACCTTTTAACTTTAAGCTTTCTCTTTTCAACCCTTCAGGACACTCCTCTCTCTCTGAGGTCACCTGCACTTTCTAAGTGTGTAACTTAAGCTTTTTCCCAATCTTTCAGCACATCTCTCTCTGAGGTCACCTGTCCTAAGTGTGTAGCCTTAAACTTTCTCCAACCTTTCAGGGCACCTCTTTGCCCTGAGGTCACCTGCATATATTCTCTTCAAGTGAGTAACTTCAAATACAACTTTTAGTCTCACTACCATGTCTCTGCCCTTCAATTCTTTGTTGGGGAGGAAACAAGAACTGAGGAAAATACACAGCGTTCCCCCACCACCTTCACCTCAATACCTTGCACCTGGCGTTCTCGTGCTGCGTCTTCCTGTGCTTAACTCGAGTCCATCCTCCTCTTCCGTGGCCTTGCCTCCTTCAGAGCACCTGGCAGCACTGCTGTCTCATTCTGTAAAGAATCTTTTACCTCCTCTACTGGACCTCACAGCTCATGTTCTCACACTGCTGCTTCTTGTGCTTTTTGCAGGGGTACATCCTTCTCCTTCATGGCCTTCACCTCTTCCAAAGTACACCTCAGCAATGTCATTTCATTTTTTAACAAATATTTTACTTACTCCACAGCACCTCACAACTGGCACACTTGTGCTGCCTCCTCTTGAATCAATGCCATTTCAGTCTTCAATGAATCCTCAGCAGTTTGCAGCTTACATTCTCATGCCATTCCTTGTGTCTCTTTTCAGGAGCATATTCTTCTCATCCGTAGATTTTTTTAATATTGTGAGAAACAGCCAACCTGCAGTTCCTGCTCCCTCATGGGCACTCTTTCTCAAAGGACCTCCTTATTATACCAAGAGCCACCTCTACTGCCCAGGTGTCACCTCCACCTGCCTCCAGTCCTGGGGTGGGGCCCAGCCCTCTAGAGGCAAGCCACCTCAGACCACATGCCCACTGGAGGACACTCAACTGTCTCTCCATTCATAGGGGCAGCCCACTGAAGCACCCCTCCCATAAGAGCAGCCTGTTCTGTTCCTACTCTATGTCAATGAAAAAGAAGGCATTAACAAGATCTACAACATAATGATATGTTTGGTCAACAATGAATTCTGACAATGTTGTCAACTGTCTTACCAATGGATTTCAGCCCCGGGAAAGCTCACTATGGATTCAGTGAGACTGAGGAATGACAATGGAATGTTTCTAAGGTAAAAGGACTTATTACCCAGCTTGTTCTCCTGGTGATAGGTCAAGCACTAGAATTACTTCTGCATCCAATAATCTGCAGGTCTGTAATCCTTGTTTCTGCCTCCCCACAATGTCCTATACCACACAGACCACAGAGCTAATTCACAACCCTACCCAATGCTGAGTGCAGCTCCTCCCACCCAACCAGAAAGCATAGCTAGAATACCTGGAAAGCAACACGAGACTGAAGACTGGCAAGTGTAGCTGATCATACACAGAAAACCAGTGACCCGTTTGGCCAGGAAACTTGGGGCACAGGTTGACATGGGTCAAGCCCCTGAATAAAGCATTGCTAACCTTGTATTTCTTGGTCCAACCATCAGGGAAACTAATTGGTAGCCTCACCCATTGTTGAGTAAAACTTTCAGCTTGCCTGACCAGGGAACCTAACCAGAGCACAGGGGAAAATGTGTAGCCCATCCAAAAGCCCTGCTTCAGTGGCATTTGAACACAGAACACAGCCCATGGCTTGACCTGTCTGCAGGGTCCATTGTTGAGTAAAACTTTCAGCTTGCCTGACCAGGGAACCTAACCAGAGCACAGGGGAAAATGTGTAGCCCATCCAAAAGCCCTGCTTCAGTGGCATTTGAACACAGAACACAGCCCATGGCTTGACCTGTCTGCAGGGCAAAACTGATGGCTCCACCTGACCAGAAAATTAAATGCAGTCTTGCTGAACTCGTATCCCCAAACATCATGCTGTGCAGCACCTGGGACTCATTCTGCTGCCTTAGTAGGGCAGGAAAATTAATTCATAACCCTGCCTATTACTGAGTATAGTACTGTCTTGCCCATGAGTTTCAGCCCTGGACAAGTTCACTAAGGATTCAATGAGACCAAAAAATGACAATGGAATGTTCTCGGGGTCAAAGAGTTTATACCCAACTTTATTCCCACAGTGGCAGGTCTATCACTAGAATCCTGTCTACTCACAGCAAGTCTGCCTGAATAGGGCTACACTGTGACATATTAAAAATTACCTAAAGTCAAAGAGCTTTGCAAACAGCAAGACAAAAGAGAGAGGTTATAATAAAGGGAAGCCCATAAAACTACTGGTGAATTTTTCAACAGAAACATTTTAAGCCAGAAGAGAATGAGATGACCTATTAAAAATAACAAAAGAAACAAATGTTGACCAAAAATTCAATACCCACAAAAACTGACCTTCAAAAGAAAGACCTCCTTGAACAAACAAAAGATGATGAAGTTCATCAGCATTAGACTGCCTTACAAGAACTATGAAATGGGTTTCTTTTGAAAGTGAAAGGATACTAACATTATAAAAAATAAGAAGGTAATGTAAAATTTGTCATCATAAATATACAAAGTTAGATCCTGTAAAATGGTAATGGTGATGTGTAATTCACTTACAGCTCTTGTTTAAAAGTAAAAATAACCATAACTACAATAATGCTGTTGGATACAAAACATGAAAAATATGTAAACTATAACATCAATAGCCTAAATGTTATGGGAAGGAGAAGTAAAGTGTAAATTTCAGGAATGCCATTGAAATTAAGTTATCACCTTAAAATAGGGTGATAAAATTTTAAGATATTTTATGTAAGCTTCATGGTAACTAACTACAAGCAGAAAACCTGTAGTAATTATACGAAAGAACATGATAAAGAAGTCAAAGCATACTGATGCCAAGACATCGAAACATAAAACCCCCCAGTATAGGGACATCATTATCTACAAAACAGCCAGAACACAATTAACTAAAGAGCCATAGTCATTACCTACCAGTAATTACTTTAAAATAAGTGGATTAAATTTTACAATCAGAAGACAGATTTGCAAAACAGATTAAAAACCAAACAAAAACATATGATCCAGCTACACAATGTCTTTAAGAGGCTTGCTTTAGCTTCAAAGACACAAATATGTTGAAAGTGAAAGGATGGAGATATTCTACGTAAATAGCAACCAAAAACAAAGCAGGATGGCTACACTAAATCAGACAAAATAGACTATAAGCCAAAAACTGTTACAAGGAACAAAGGATATTATATAGGAGTCAATGCATCAAGAAGACATAACAATTACAATAATTTATGCACTAAACAAGGGCCCCCAAAATATATGAACTAAACATTGACAGAAATTAAAGGGAGAACTAGACAGTAATACTATAATTGTTGGAAACTTCAATAAGCCCCTGTAAAAAAAAGTAGATGAAATATTTAGACAGAAGATCAATGAGGAAAGAGACTTGAACACTATAAACCAATTATACCTAACAGACATATATAAAACACTCCACCCGACAACACAATATATTTATTTTTTCAAATGCACATGGAACATTCTCCAGGATAGACCATATATTAGGACATAAAACAATTCTTGATAAATTTAAAAAGATTGAAATCATGCTTTCCTCTGACCACAACAGAATGAAGCTAGAAATCAGTGGCAAGGACAAGCGGAAATTTTACAAATTTAATGGCATACTCTTTACCAATCAATGGGGACAAAGAAGAAATCACAAGAAATTTAAAAATATGACAAAGTAATTCCATTCCAGGGCATATATTAGAGTATATGTTGAAATATAAAAATAGCAACTCAGAGATTTATTATGTCAACGTGCACTGTGGCACTGTTCACAATAACCAAAAGGGGGAAATAACCCAAGTAAGTATTCTTCAAAGATGGATAAACAAAATATGGTATATAAAACAATATTATTTTGCCATAAAAATGAGATTCTGATACATGTCACAATATGGATGAATCTGAAAAATGTTAAGAAGTATGGGTGGATTGGCAGGCTCCCGGAAGGCAAGGAAAGCCAGCAGTGGAGAAAGGTATCGACCCAAGTCATTCCTCAGAATTGCCCAGTCAACACATTCAGTACCTGCATCCACCAACTGGGGGTGAAAGACAAAGTAAAATAGAGAGATCTGGTGAAAGTTATTTGGAAGATATATTCTTAATATCCCTTCCTCAACTCCCCACCATGGCTTGTCTGGCCCTCCACAAACCAACACAAGTTCAAAGATTTGTTCTTTAGAGAAGTTAAAACAGGGTTTTCTAGACAGCAGGCACTGGGTACCAGAAATGTGTGTTTGGGGGTGGGAGGAAGAGTGAATGAAGAGATGGCCATATACATGTGGAGTGCCAGAAATCCCATCCTTTTGGCTCCATGGCCCCCAGAACACTTGCAGACAGACCCTTATGCTCTAAGGAGGTTGGCCCCAAAAAAGTCTACCTAGATAACCCTAAAGACCCCTTCCCCCAAGTCCAATGCTTCCAATTGGCTTTTCAGTCCACTATTCAAACATCAGTACACAGCCAAGGATTGCCAGATGTCCCACAAAAGCCTAAAACAGGAAAACAAAGAAATACACAGAGAAAAAAGGAATTTGGAGTAAACAAATGCTGCAAAAAAACAATTTCAAAGGAAAAAAACACAAACACTATCATGGGTATCTTCAATGGTACCAGAACAAATCCAGACAAGAATATAAAATAAGAACAGAGTACTACTTAAGGAACTTTCAGATATCAAAAAGGGATCTTGAGCCTTTAAAACATGATAGCAAACAAGAGCTGGAAGATTGAATGAAAAAACAAAGATGGGGGTTAGAGGAGTTAAAACAGGGTTTTCTGGAGAGCAGGCACTGGGTACTAGGCCAGAAATGTGTTTGGGCAGGTGGGGTGAGGTAGTGACTGGAAGAGAGCCAGGCCTGGGGATGGAATATGAAAATAATAGTTCCAGAAAGAGAGAAGCAGAGGAGAGGAAGTCATCAATGAACTCTAAGTTTCCCAGAACTGAAAGATAGGAGTTGCCATATTGAAAAGAGTTTATCAAATCCCAATATACTGGATAGAAATAGACCCACCCCAAGGCACATCACTGTGAAATTTCATTACCCTGATGACCAGGACAGCCTACAAGCTTTCAATCATATACAAGGAAAAGAAATCAAAATGGCTTGGGATTTCTCACCATAACTGCAAACAAGACTATGGAGCAGTATCATCAAAATTCTGGAGGAGAATTATCCCCCGCCTAGAATTCTATAATGTATCAATCAAATACAATAGACATGCAAGGTCTCATAAAAAAATCTACCTTTATGGAGGGACATACTTCCTTTAGAAGCTACCAAACAATGTGCTTCACCAAGTTTGTAACCAATAAAATGAAAACAAAAACACATCAGCACAGACACAAATGCAAATCCCCAAATAGCTAGGCATCCAGGGGTAGATCTGAGCAGCATGATTCAAGAGATACACAGGTTAAGGGTTGCCCTTATCTAGAGCCATGCTGGTACTGAGCCTGGCCCAAATTATGTCTAGGCTGATATTTATGTTGGATTATATACCAGCTTTCCATTCCATTCACAGCTACCAAATCAGCAATGACACTTCCACCACCCCACAGAGGTACTGTTTTGACCTACACCTAGAAGCATGTTTGATTCACCATGAGCTGAAAACCAGGAAATACAGTCTACTCCCTCCCACATTTCTGAGACACCAGTGACCCAGTCCACACTCTAGCCCTGCCTAATGATGCCCTGCGGTGAGCCTTCTGTTTAGCAGTACTCACTCAGGATCTTAGCCATTATTGCTCAAGTGATTTTTCTAAATTCTCTGGGAAATTCCAGCTAAACTATGTCCCAGACTGTGGTATATTCTCCCTGAAGCCTTCATGTAATAATGACAATTTTATCCTTTTATACCTGCCAACAGGTTCCCCAAAAAACTAAATATATTAAGAATGTATATGTACATAACAAATTAAAAGAAATGCAAAGAAATGATAAACAGAAAGCAGAACAGTGCCTACATCTAGAAGAGGGTAAGGATGCAACTGTAGACATACAGGCATAGTCTTAGATCCTAGCTGATGTTCTCCTTAGCCTTCCTAAATATTACTAAATGCTGATGGTGGATACATGAATATTCATTCTTTTACTCTTTATATCATACTTTTCTGTATTCATGATTTACCTCACAAATTAAAGAAAACATCCTGTCCACTTCCTTGTTCAGATTCCAGGCTCAATGAAGAAGAACATTCTGCTGACAGTTTTTTGCTTTACCTCTAATAAGATAATGGACATCAGACCACCAGGCATGTGCTTTTCTCTTTTTAAAGTAATAAACTGCCATTCTAAATTTTTTTTTTTAAGTACTCACAAAATAATGAATGCTTTGTTGATTTAATGACTACGTCCTTTCATATGAAATGAAATTAGTGGCTAAGTAAATCCTCTGAGTCAATGTGTCCTTTGCAAACAACCAAATTCACTCTCAGGATCAGGACTTTTTTGATGCTTCAATTTCATCCCATATTGCAGCTTCAATTTTTGAAGTATCATATTCCCTCATCATATCAAACTCAAGCCATGGCTGACTCCACTTCTGAGCTTCTTTCATTTGCTCTTCAGTTAAATAAAGATCAAATCTGATTCCTTTGATATTAAATTTTGGACGTTCCCAGCGCTTGGACCAGGGCTTCGGCTTCATTTTTACTTTCAGCTAAGTAAGAAACAAGAAAAGGAATAAATTAGGTTGACAGAGCAAAAATTCTTCTGAAAGTCTTCACTAAGCATCTTTCTTCATGCACACTTAATCTTCAGTTCCAAATGTACAACTTATACCTGATTAACAGGGACTTCTTCCATAGGTTCTGGTGCTAGTGGCTTCATATTCACATCAAAAGTGCTGTATTCAGGAAGAGCATCTCGTAAGTATAGCAAGCTGTCATCCAGCCGTTTCTCTAACTTGATCACTTGGATCTCCTGGATTCGAGGATTATAAAGTTCAAAGCAAATCTCAACACCTAAAAAGAAAAGAAAACATATTCTTATAGTCACAATCCAGATGCCCACATACATCTCTTAATACAGTAAAAGCTATTTCATAATTGAACTAGCACAGGTTTTTAAACATAGGAAATGTGACATAAATCTGTGATTTTTAAGATAAAAAATATCAAAAGAAACCTAGCTAAAATCCATGTATGTTAAAAAGTGAAAAAACATCAATTAGAATGAGAAAATCTAAAGAAAGTTGTCTTCTACAAATATATGATTCACATATTGCTTTAATTTTGATAGTATTAACTTGGAGAAAGTTTGAGTAAATTCTTCACTTTGTCATGTTCATATTTCCCAGATACTTAAATAAAATTACCTTTTACATTAAGAGCAACAGGATTAATGATACATAAAGAGTAAATAAATCTTTCAGTTTTAACAAGGTTTAGAAGCCCCTCTTAAGGACAGCCTAGGTTTTATAACATGCTGGGGCCCTCCATATGAAGCTAGGAACAGCTGTGAGTGTTTTGAGATGTTATAAGTAATATTTTAATATATATTATCTGTAGCATCAAACATTTTAGGGCAAGAATGTATTCTGAGGTTTCCTAGAATAATCCCAAGAGAAATACAATATATATGACCAATATTAACATCTACTGTTTAATACTAGAATTTAATCCAATTATTATTGTACACCTGTCCTGTTTCAGGCACTGATTTGGGCACTGTACCTATAATAAATCCAAAATAGGTAGGATCCTTTTCTTCTCATAAAGCTTACATTCCAGCAGGTAACAGACAAAAAAACAAAGTAATTTAATATAATGAAGACTATATATATAGGGTGATAATACTGGTACTAGGGATGGGACAACTTTAAACAGTATAGTCAAGGAAAGCCTCTCTGAAAAGATGACATTTAAACTATTATAAAGAGCTAAGAATGCTCTAGGCAGAAAAAAACAGCAAATGCAAAGGCCCTGGGGTTTTAACCTGCCATGTTGGAAACAATAGAAAAAAGCCCTTTGGGTTGGAGGATAGTAATTTGGTGGGTCAGGAAAGTAAATCAGAGATACTGCACAATGACAGGCAGGAGATGGTGATGGCATGGATGAGATGGAAACGGAGATGAAGAGAGAGAGACAAAAATGAGGTATGTTTTTGAAGATTAAGCCAAGAAAATTTGTCAACTGACTTGATGTACAGAAGAGGATTATTAAAAATAGCTCCAAAATTTTTGGCTTAAGTAAAAGGGTAGGCAGTGGTGCCATTATGGAAAGAGAAAAACTGTGGACACATTGTCAGGGAAAATAAAGAGCTCTGTTTTGAACTTGTCTTATGGTTATGAGACACTTAAATGAGAGATGTCAAACAGGCAGCTGTGCATGCAAATCTGGAACGTGGAAAGAGTCCATCCTCAGGAAGTAAATCTGGGAGTTATCATCACATGGATGGTATGTAAAGCCAATGGTCTAGAAAGAACCATCAAAGAAGGGAGTATTGATGGGGAAGGTCAAGGCAGGTTACAAGAGTCAAAACCTGCTTCAGACAAGGGCAGGAGGGAGTTAACATCTTCGGAGTGTTCTGGGTCTGGTACTTCATACACAGTATTACAGCACACTGACCACAACCCTGGGGGGTTGAAGCTGTTATTATCTTAATTTTAAGGAAGAACATCAAACCTAGGTCTAAGTGACACACCTATGCTAGTGTCCTTGTTACAGGGCTGTTGCATATACACAACCTGACTGAAGGCACAAGTGTCTGCTATCAGTCAAGTCCTCCTGAGCTCCCACATGCACACCACCACAGGTCCTTACGAGGTAAGGAAGGCAGCAACTGCTCCAGTGTTCAATTTCTTTGAAGATAGTTTTTCATCATAAAGCAACTTTTGAGTATGAAAACTTTATTGTTCCTGCCATTTTGATTCATAACCTTTCTAGAATTTTACCACTTGTGCCTCTGCCTTACTAGGCATAGCAAACAAAATTCTGCCTTTTTAAAAATCCCTCCAGGACTTATAAAACAGCGATCATTGTGGTGACTGTCACAGTATATAGCAAAATGGGGGCATTCATTTTAGGAAAAAGTGACTCATAAGCACATCATATGTTTATCTTCATATTCCTAAAAGGAGTGTTCCTGTACTGCCTTACAGCCACTTGTAATGTCGGCACATTTCAGAAAGGCTGTTTCTAACAGCTGTTGTCCCTGGAATAAAAGAAGCCTTGAAGAGAAAGTAGAGAACCAACCATATTCAATCAGCAACCTCAATACTCTTACCCTTCTTAGGCCCCAGGCTCCGTGTCAACCCTCAGAACTCTTTTACAGTCAAGTTGCAGATGTTTCACCCAAGGATGCAGAAGAATCTTGAAATAACATTTTCCAGAAAATCAAAGTAATGAAACAAAACATACCTTGTCCTTCAATAGTGTTCCTAAGGATAAAAGTAGCTCCAAGTCCTGCTCCTGATCTCTGGATACAGATCCCCAGAAACTGGCTGGTTTTTCCGCTGGCATATGGGTCAGCGGTAGTTACACGAAGTATGCTTCCTACAAATGCAAGAAACCTTCCCATGAGATGCAGGAACAAACAAATAGCATTTTTAGGCAACTTTTTAACTTCGTAAATATTTTCATATAATATTAGGAATAAGTACCTCCTTTGGGTAAAACCCAGATATGTGAGAAACAATCTCCTCTATGCCAAGAAAACTAACCCCCCCAAGCACTAACCACAGAAGCACCCAGCTCTTACTGACCTACATAGAACTCTGGAATGTGGAGTATTTTTCTCCGTTCTAACATATCTTTTCTTTCTATTTGAAATTTCAGAGGATTTGTTCTTCCTCTTGGAGGGATGAATTCAGGACTCAAGAACCTGTGAAAAATACAAATTAAAAAAAAATTAAATAAAAGCAAATTTAAAAGGCCACTACAAGAGAAACTGTTGCTTTACCAAAAAAGGGAAGCTTATGATGCTGACATATTTTATTCTTTCTTCTCTAAATAAGAAAAGTTGATTTTATTTCTAAAATTGCTATCAGTGCTCATGAAAACAGTAATTCCTGAGTACTCACCTGACATGGTGTTAAAACTTTTTCAAACATCTACAGTATAAATTAATCCTTACAACAGCCAAGTGGGTATGGTGTCATCAACTCCTTTTCACAGATGAAGAAAATGAAGCCTGGAGTGAGTAAATAACTGATCTATCACTAGGTGAGCTATACACTTATCAAGTGAAGATGCAAATGTAGGTATGTCTGTCAGACTACAAAACTTGTGATCATAACCACAGGCCTCACACTGGGTTGTGCATGTAATAATACATTATACTGCAAAAGATACTAACATATAAATCATTACTTGCAAACTAACTTTAAAAATAATCTCCCTATTCTCATCTTTAACTGTTTTAAAACTCATTATGAAATACTTAATCTACAAAAAAGTATAAATGAGATTACAGTAAAAATTCGTGTCCCATAACCCACCTCAATAAATAAATGATCAATATAGTTGAAGCCCCTGTGCACCACTACCTACCCCTCAACTTAATTACTATGGGGTAATTAAGTACATTTGGAAATAATTATTCCTATGAATTTCTTCCTTCTCAATTTCCTACTTCGAAATTTTTCAAACCTACCAAAAAGCTAAAATAGTAATACAATGAATACCCAGTGAATACCCAATGAACACACTTCACTTCGTTTCAATTGCTAACATTGTGCCACATTTGCTTTGTATATACATAGATGTTTTTTCTGAACCATCTGAAAATGAAGAACAGCAAGGCATTTCAGCCCTCAATACTTTACACAGTTTCTGTTGAGAATAAGGATCTTCTCCAACATTCATTGCAATACGTTAGGACACCTAAAAATTGCAGCAGTAATTCGATAATTAATCTAATTTATAGTTCATATTTAAATGTACCCAATTGTCCTGGAAAAGGCCGTTCATAGCTTTTGTTGCCCACTCCAAGCTACAATCAAGCTTCACACATTGTGTCTGGTTGTTATTCTTTATTCTATTAAACTAGTACTATTTTCCACCTCTGTATTTTTATAACACTTTTTTTAAGTGTCCAAGCCTACCACCCCTGGATTCTATGGATTTGTCTATTATTACCAAACGCCTAAAGTTAAACACTTTAGGTAAAAATATTACAGAGGTGATAATGTGATCTCATTCTGTCACATCAGGAAGCACATAATAGCACCTTGTATGACTATTGGGAAAGTTAGGTCTTGAATGTTGTGTGAAAGTGGAGAATCTCCCCTGGACATTTCTTCATTCTTTACATATGCATGTGAGTCTGGGAAATATAAAAATGCACTCATACTATATCAATTCTTCCACAGGTTGCTCTTTTCCACACATCACATTTGTAAGGTTCATCCATGTTAGTGCTAGGCTGTTTGTTTTTCACTACTGCATAATACTCCATTGTGTGAATGTATTTGCCTATATTACCTATTGATGGATAGACTGCTTCCACATTTTTGTTACAAAGAACACTTTTGTGTACATTCTTGTACATGTCTTCTTACATGTTACTTCTAAGTTGTATAGTCTGGGTGGAAAGATATACCTCAAACTGACTAAATTCTGTCAAATTATTTTCTAAGGTAGTTAACACAATTGACATTTGCATTTAACTGAATCTTATTAAGTGCTGCCATTTAAAAGGGATATTCCCTTTCCACCTTAAAAAAAGAAAAAGATGTAGTAAGAACCTGAGGATATTCGAAACGTTGAACATACACCTACATCCAGAGATAATCCAATCAACGAGCTAAAGCCCTTTCAGAAAGCCTAAAATCACACTAAGACTTCACCCCTAACACTGGCTTTTTGGTAAGGTTGTACACAGCTCTAGAGAAACACTGCCGGCAAATCCCAAGTCATCTAAATTGACATGTATCTCCAAAGCTACCACTATTAATTTACACAAACCAGGTTTTAAAGTGCATTGTTTTGAAGAGCAAACTTCAGACACAAATTAGGGGATATTTTTACCACTGTACCGCATTTATCAGGAAACTAAAACGGGGCGAGTTCTGGTCAATCCATTTCCACACAGACAAGAAAATTTACCTGCTCCTTTATGTGAACAGGTAAACATCACATTTCTCTGATGTGCTTCAGAGAAAATTCTCGATACAGGCCAAGTGCAGGAGGAAAGAGCTTCAAATCTGGGGAATCCTTATTTGAAGTTCGGATTTAATAAGACTGCAGAGAAAGTTGAACACTGGCTCGGGAGAAAAAAGGATGACCAATCAGGGGTAGGTGTCCTTTACATACGAGGACTCAGGAATCCTGCACACGAGGAGCTCTTGCAGTGGGAGTTCCAGACCCCGTTTTAGAGCCGAAAACTCAAGCGAATACAGGTTCGCGAGCGCACAGACCAGAAAAGCAGGAATCCCGCCCAAGCCCGGGTCTCACCTGCTTTCCCGATGCTTGGCAAGGCGCTTGTCCGCGATGACCGGTTTCTGCGGCGGCTGGAACGCGCCGGGCTCGGGAGGTCCAGTGCTCCGCTGCCGGGCCGGGCCCACGCGGGCCCCTGCGGGAGCGGACGAATGAGATCAGGACGGCAAGCCCTGCCCCTAGCTCCCGCGGAGCCCTGCAGTCTATCCCAACCACCACGAGGGGCCTTCGCTTGGGTCGCCCCTGGCTCCGAGGCGCGCCTTCCCCGAGCCTGGCCCCAGCTCCTTATGTGCATCAGCTCGCAAGCCCCGCTCCACTTACGGCAGGCGACAGAGGCAGACGCAGGGAGCAGCGCCTTGGCAGCTCGAAAGCTCCGAGCCAAGCCCATTGCGGGTCCGCAGCTCCCTGCAAGGAAAGAAGCCATGCTTGCTCACGCAGGAGAAGACTACAGTTCCCAGTAATCAGTGCGACGAGGTCGCGGCCACCAGCCACCGGATGGCGGCTCCTATGGGACAAAATAGCCAAGTCTTTTTCACTCTCCTCCACCTGCCCCATGTGTTACGGAATGTGCATGTTTTTCTGCTTCCCCATAATGTGCCCAGTTATATCCGTCCAAGAGTTGTTCTAGAAAGTTTCCTTCCTCTTTAAATGAACTCTATCTGAACTTTCTCAAGCAAAACTTAACTACGCCAACTCCATTCGTTTTAGGCACTCATCCTTACTAGGTGTCTTCCATTAGCAGCTCTGATATCATCTGTCATTTTAATTTTTAATTTAATTTCTGGTTTAATTAATTGTGCAGTTATTGGATTAGGGTCTAACTCTTCCATTATACTGTAAACTCTCTGAAGGCATGGATGAGGTTATCTTTTTTTGTTTAACTAATTTATTTTATAATTGGAAGTTTGTACTTCTTTACCTCTTTCATTTATTTTGCCCATCTTCCCACCCCCTCCCTATGGTAAGCACCAGTTTGTTCTCCGTATTTATGCGTCTATTTCTGTTTTTTTTTGTTGTTGTTGTTCATTTGTTTTGTGTTTTAGATTCCACATATAAGTGAAATCATACGTCATTTGTCTTCCTCAGTTTACTTCACCTGACATGATACCCTCGAGGTCCATCCATGTTGTTGCAAATGGCAAAATTTCTTTTTATGGCTGAGTAATAGTCCATTGAGTCTGTATATAGATGAACACTTAGACTGTTATTGTGAATAGTGCTGCAATAAACATAGGGGTGCATGTATCTTTTCAAACTGGTGATTTTGCTTTCTTTGAGTAAATTCTCAGAAGTGGAATTACTGGGTCATATGGCATTTCTGTTCATACATTTTGAGAAAAATCCAAACTACTTTCCATAGTACCTGCACAAATTTACATTCCCACTGAGAGTTAACAAGGGGTCCCTTTTCTCCACATCCTCGCCTCACTTCTTATTTCTCATCTGTTTCTTTCTTTGTAATAATAGCCTCTTTGACTGGAGTGAAGTGATATCTCATTGGGTTTTGATTTGCATTTTCCTGATGATTAGTGATGTCGGGCATCTTTGCATGTGCTGACTGGAGTGAAGTGATATCTCATTGGGTTTTGATTTGCATTTTCCTGATGATTAGTGATGTCAGGCATCTTTGCATGTGCCTGCTGGTCATCTGCATGTTTTCTTTGGAAAAGTATCTATTCAGGTCCTCTACCCATTTTTTAATTGGATTATTTGGGGTTTTTTGGTGTTGAGTTGTATGAGTTCTCTATACATTTGGGATTTTAACCCTTCATTGGATATATAATTTGCAAATACATTCTCCCATTCAGTAGGTTGCCTTTTCATTTTGTTGATGATCTCCTTGCTGTGCAGCAGCTTTTTAGTTTCATGTAGTCCCATCTGTATGTTTTTGCTTTTGTTTCCCTTGCCTGGGTAGATACATTCAGAAAAAAAATTACTAATGCTGATGTTCAAGAGTTTACTGCCTATGTTTTCTTCTAGGTGTTTTATTGTTTCAGGTCTTTTAGGTATTTAATCCACTTCAAGTTTATTGGACAATGTGGTGTTTTATTCACCATTTATCCCAGCACCTAGTACCCACTTAACCCTCTTTCATTGTTGAATGCAAGAAAAGGAAAAAAAAATAGGTCCAACATGTGGCACAAAATCCCTGAAACTACAGAAAGCATTGTCCCTTTGAGGAACTGAAATTGAATTTGGGATGGTCCACTGGGGGTGGGGATAGGTGGCAAAGATGAAAATGAAAAGGTAAATTGTAAGTCTTATTAAGAAATTTGGAATCTATGTAGAGACTTAAAGATGGTGGCATGAGAAGTGAGACAGAAACTTCCTCCCAAAACCACATATAATAAGAAAATATAGCAAATACAATGAATCCTCAAAAAGCAACCAAAAGGAAGACTGCTACAGACTGCCTACATCTGGGGAAAAGAGAAGACCACAAAGAAAATTATGGTATCTGAAATGAAACATACAATGGAGATATTTCAAAGCAGATTAGATGACATAGAGGAGATGGTAAATGAAATAAAAATTAGAGAATCGAAATACAAAGAAGCTGAGGCACAGAGAGAAAAAAGGATCTCTAGGAGTGAAAGAATATTAAGAGAACTGTGTGACCAATCCAAATGGAACAATATTCACATTATAGGGGTACCAGAAGAAGAAGAAGAGAGAAAAGGGATAGAAAGTGTCTATGAGGAAATAATCACTAAAAACTTCCCCAATCTGGGGAAGGAAATAGCCTCTCAGATCATGGAAGTCCACAGATCTCCCAACACAAGGGACCCAAGGAGGACAACACCAAGATATATAATAATTAAAATAGCAAAGACGAGGTCAAGGATAGAGTATTAAAGGCAGCCAGAGAAAGAAAACAGATCACATACAAAGGAAAACCCATCAGACTTCTCAGCAGAAACTTTAGAGCCCAGAAAGGAGTGGTAACATGATATATTGAATGCAATGAAACAGAAGCATCTGGAACCAAGAATTCTGCTTATACATTCAGAAAAAAAATTACTAATGCTGATGTTCAAGAGTTTACTGTCTATGTTTAAATTTAAATTTGAAGAAAGGATTAAACAATTTCCATATAAGCAAAAGTTGAGGGAATTTATCTCCCACAAACCATCTCTACAGTGTATTTCAGTGGGACTCCTATAGATGGGGGTGTTCCTAAGGCTAAATAGCTGTCACCAGAGAAAATAAAACCACAGTAAAGGAAGTAGACCAATGAATTGCTAAGCAAATGAAAAACTAAATCAGCTACATAGAAAGTTAGTCAAAGGATTCAGAAAGAGTACAAAATATGACAGCTAAGATAAAATGAGTGGAGGAGGAAGAAAAAGAAGGGAGGAAGAAAAAGAACCTTTAGATTGTATTTGAAATAGCATACTAAGTGAGTTAAGTTAGACTCTTAGATAGTAAAGAAGCTGCCCTTGAACCTTTGGTAACCATGAATCTAAAGCCTGCAATGGCAATAACTACATATCTACCAATAAGCAGACCTAAATGTAAATGTTCTGAATACACAATAAAAAGACATAGAGTTACAAAATGGATAAAAATACAAGACCCATCTATATGCTGCCTACAAGAGACTCACTTCAAACTCAAAGACATACACAGACTGTAAGTGAAGGGATGGAAAAAGATATTTCATGCAACTAATAGGGAGAAAAAAGAAGGAGTTGCAGTACTTGTATGAGACAAAATAGACTTCAAAACAAAAAAAGTAACAAGACAGACAAGGACATTACATAATGATAAAGGAGTCAATCCAACAAGAGGATATAACCATTATAAATATATATGCACCCAACACAGGAGCACCAACATGTGTGAAACAAATACTGATAGAATTAAAGGGGGAAATAGAATGCAGTGCATTCATTTTAGGAGACTTCAAAACATCATTCACTCCAAAGGACAGATGAATGAGACAGAAAATAAGTAAGGAGACAGAGGCACTGAACAACACATTAGAAGAGATGGACCTAACAGCGATCTTAAGAACACTCCACCCAAAAGCAGCAGCAAGATACACATTCTTCTCAAGGGCACATGGAACATTTTCAAGAATAGATCATATACTAGGCCACAAAAAGAGCGTCAGTGAATTCAGAATGATTGAAAATGTACCAACTAGCTCATAAACAACAAAGGTATGAAACTAGAAATAAATTATGCAAAGAAAACAAAAGGCCCACAAACACATGGAGGCTTAACAACAACATGCTCCTAAATAATCAATGGATCAATGACCAAATAAAAACAGAGATCAAGCAATATATGAAGACAAATGAAAACAATAACTCAACAACACAAAATCTGTGGGATGCAACAAAGGCAATGCTAGGAGGGAAGTATATTGCAATACAGGCTTGCCTCAAGAAAGAAGAACAATCCCAAATGAACAGTCTAAACTCACAATTAATGAAACTAGAAAAAGAAGAAAAAGTGAGGCCCAAAGTCAGTAGAAGGAAGGACATAATAAAAATCAGACCAGAAATAAATAAAATTGAGAAGAATAAAACAGTAGAAAGAATCAATGAAACCAGGACCTGGCTCTTCAAGAAAATAAACAAAATAGATAAATGCTTAGCCAGACTTATGAAGAAAAAAGAGTCTACACATATAAACAGAATTAGAAGTGAGAAAGGAAAGATCACTATAGACACCAGATAAATACAAAGAATTATTAAAGAGTGCTATGAAAAATTATATGCTAACAAATTGAATATCCTAGAATAAAAGGACAACTTTCAAGAAAAATACAACCTTCCAAGGCTGACCCAGGAAGACACAGAAAATCTGAACAGGCCAATTAAAAGCAGCAAAACTGAATTGGTAATCAAAAAACTACCTAAGAACAAAACCTCTGGACCAGATGGCCTCATCACTGAGCTTTATCAAACATTTAGTGAAGCCATAATACCCATCCTCCTTAAAGTTCTCCAAAAAGTAGAAGAGAAGGGAATACTCCCAAACTCATTCTATGAGGCCAGCATCACCCTAATACCAAAACCAGGCAAAGACACCACAAAAGAAGTTACAGACCAATATCTCTGATGAACATAGATGCGAAAATTCTCAACAAAATATTAGCAAACTGAATTAAAGAACACATCAAAAAGATCACCCATCATGACCAAGTGTGATTTATTACAGGGATGCAAGGATGGTACAATATTTGTAAATTAATCAATATCATACACCACATTAATAAAAAGGAAAGCACCACATGATCATCTCAATAGGTGCTGAAAAAGCATTTGACAAAATTCAACATCCATTCATGATAAAAACTCCCAACAAAATGGGTATAGAGGGAAAGTACCTCATAATAAGGGTCATATATGACAAATTCACAGCCAACATTATACTTAACAGTGAGAAGCTGAAAGCTTTTCCTTTAAGATCTGGAACAAGACAAGGATGCTGAC